CCACCCGCGACCCATCCGCGACCCACCCGCGACCCACCGCGCGACCCGCACGCGACCCACCCGCGACCGGCCCGCGACCCACCCGCGACCCCACCCGCGACCCACACGAGACCCACCCACCCGCGACCCACCCGCGACCCACCCGCGACCCAACCTGCGACACACCCGCATTGTTGTTGTTGTTGTTGTTGTTGATGTTGTTAGTGGTGTTGTTGTGTTGTTGCTGCTACTAATGTTGTTGCTGCTGCTGCTGTTGTTGTTGGTGTTTGTGTTGTGGTTGTTGTTAGTGGTGTTGTTGTTTGGCGTCGTCTCTCCCGCGACTCGCCCGCGGCCCACCTGCAACCTTCCCCGCGACCCACCCGCGACCCACCTGCGACCCATCCGCGACCCACCCCGCGACCCACCCCCCGCGACCCGCCCGCGACCCACCTGCGACCCACCCTGCCACCCGCCCGCGACCCAGCCGCGACCCACCGGCGACCCACCCGCGACCCACCCGCGACCTGGCCCGCGACCTGGCCTGCGACCCCCCCGCGACCCCCCCCGGCGACCCAACCTGCGACCCACCCGCATTGCTTTAACAAAATAACGGCGCCTGCGGCGGGTTCGTTGTATAGTTTGTCAAAAGTATGCGCCTGCGGCGGGCTTCCTCTGAGCCCCGCAGATTGCCAACGTCCCCGCCGCCCCCTCAGTCTCATCCGCATCAACGGGCTGCTACGTGTGTATATATATATGTGTATATATATATATACATACATATAGGGGCCGAGCGGTCATTCAGTGTCCCTGGGTGCGTAAATGCAGCGTGGTTCCGCTATGCGGATTAGTATCATTGTTGTGATTCGTATTATTATTATGATGCTGATGCTGATGCTGATGCTGATGCTGATGCTGATGATGATGATTATTGATATTATTTGAACTATTAGCATTCGTATTATTAGGAATCGCATTCTTCCTGCTGTGTTTGTTGAACGCTCACTTGTGAAGAATATTATTCGTTGATCACCCCTGCCCAGTGTACATTGCACTTGTCCAGTTGGGGTGCCCCTCCCCTGGCTCGCACCCTGTTTACTCACCAGAGAAAGCCTTGAGCCTCAAACTGCGCCTCCGGCTCCCGAGTTGCAACAACAACGGCTCCCGCCTGATACGTCCTCACAATGCATTGAGAAGTCGCGCTCTCGCGCGGGACGCCCTCCCAATTTACGCAGGAGTCGCGCTCTCGCGCTCGCGTGGGACTTCCCCGCCGTCTGTTCGGAGGCCGCGACACTCAGGAATCACGCTCTCGCTGCGGATTTCCGGACGATTTATTTAGGAATCTCGCTATCGCTGCGGACTCCCCTTCCTCGCGATTCAGGCAGGACGCACGCTTCAGCAACCCGCCTGCTCGACCTGGCCGCTTGGGCCCGCCTTCCCGACCCGCCCGTTAGGATCTAACCGCCCGATCTACCCGTCTGGTTCTGCCGCGTGTCTTCTGTTCCGAGCCCCCCTCCTGCCACTCCCTCTCGTGCTCCATCCTCCCCCCCCTTGTCCTTTCCGTCCATCCGTCCTCTCCCCCTGCCTTAGGAGCTGCACGAAATCCACGTTGAAGGTAAGAAAGTTATATCCCCCCAAGGGGGGTACGATCGAAGACGAAGAGGGCGGGTACCGAGGGTCTGGGATATACGTGTTGACTGGCCTGCGAGCAGATCAGGGAGAACAATATTAAAATGATTGTTGTCGTTGCTGCTGTTGCTGTTGCCGTTGGTGTTGCTGTTGTTGTTGCTGTTGAACTCTCACGACCGAAGAATCATTATTGTTGATGCCCCCTCCGGTGTCCATTGTAGTTTTCGCAATTGGAATGATTCCCCAAGGCTGGCATCCAATTTTCTTGATCAGGGAAACTCACTGGGCTCAAACTGGGTAGTTGGCCCCCGGTGTACAACAACAGCGGTTCCCGCCTGATACTTCCTCACATTTTTTTCCCACATCGCGCTCTCGCGCGGGACTTCCTCACAGTTTATATACGAATCGCGTTTTCGCGTGGGACGTCCTCTCAACTTATTCGAACGCCGCGCCCGCGACACTCAGGAATCACACTCTCGCATTTTCGTACGAATTACTTGGTAATTGCGCTATCGCTACGGACTTCCTCGCGATTCATGCAGGACCCACGCTTCAGCAACCCGCCTGCCCGACCTGGGATCATTCGCCAAGATAACGTTCAAAAGGCTCCTAATGGAACCCCGAAGCAGCTCCCGCTTTAGCGCTGCTCGGCCTCCCATCGAAATCCAAAACAAAAACTGTAAGGATACAAGGCGGGTGGCTTCCAACAACCAAGTCTCGCATCAGCGCCGCGCACATTGATTGTACAAACTTGCAACAGTCTCAAGGCTGGAGGGCGGGTGGTGTGCAAAAGGCTGCTCTCGCCTTTGCGCCGCTCGCAGTCGTCTTGAGCATTACCAGCTGCTTCAGATACGGAGGCCGATTCGTTTTCGAAATGCGGCGATCGCCCCAGCGCCGCGCACATGCGTCTTGAAAGTTCGAAGCAGGTGCGCGGATGAATGTCGGCCCGTTTTCAAAATCCGCTGGCCCCCTTGTGGGGCCACCAGGCTGTAGGGCGAAGGTTCGCAGTTTCCTGCACCAGTTGCAGCTTCCAGTTTCCACTGTTACAGTTCTGCTTCTTGCTGCTTACTCTTCCTTGTTGACTTCTTGCTGCTGACTGCTCCTTGTTGATGGACCGCGCGAGGGGGGGAGGCCCAAAACGGGTATTTCTACCGCGGCCAAAACGTATGCTCTGAATTGCTGGGGTGGGTAAAAGTTGACACCCCTCAAGCAGATCGGCGGGGTCAGGGTCCAAAAACACATGGGATTTGCAGCATGTCTGAAATCCGGTGGCACCCCTCACGCAGATCGGCGGGGTCAGGGTCCAAAAACAAAAGGGATGCGCCACATTTCTGACATTCGGCGGCACCCCTCACGCAGATCCGTAGGGTCAGGGTCCAAAAACATATGGGACTTGCTACATTTCTGAAATTCGGTGGCACCCCTCAAGCAGATCAGCAGGGTCAGGGTGCAAAAACACATGGATTTCTGCCATTCGGCGGCACCCCTCACGCAGATCGGCAGGGTCAGGGTCCAAAAACACATGGGATGTGCCACATTTTGTGACATTCGGTGGCACCCCTCACGCAGATCGGCAAGGTCAGGGTGAAAAAACACAGGGGATTTGCCACATGTTTGACATTCGGCGGCACCCCTCACGCAGATCCGTAGGGTCAGGGTGCAAAAACATATGGGACTTGCTACATTTCTGACATTCGGCGGCACCCCTCACGCAGATCAGCAGGGTCAGGGTCGAAAAACAAACAAGTCCCGACACTGCTTGACGGCGGCGCCCAAACCTCATGAATTAGCTGTTGCATCTCCCATTTTCCGAGACAGGGGGCTGGCGGCATGGGGCGAAGCCCTTACGGATTAGGCCCTCGCCCTACCGATGCGCACATCTGTCGTTCCAGCCTGCATCAGTTACGATGGATGGGGATCTCGCTTGAGACTTCCTCCATATTAGAAGCTCGGGAATGCGTAACCGCTGTAAGGATGGAAGGCGGGTCCCTTTCAAAAAAAGGGCTCTCGCTTGATACGTCCTCAAATGATAACCCAGCGTCAATTTGTGTGCAACAGTTACACGGGTGGGAGCGGCTACCTTTCAAAACGGGGACGGCGTTGGATATGATCCTGCATGCTCGCATTTCCTCCCCTTCGTTGGCCATCGCTGGGTATGATCCTGCCTGTTCGCATCTCTTCCCCTTCGTTGGGCATCGCTGGATATGATCGTGGATGTTCGCATCTCTTCCTCAAGGCCACGTAGACCCTGACACGCTAGACCCGGACACCCAACATCCCTCGAAACCAATTTTTCCAAACGGCGGCACGAACGAAATGCTGCACTGCAGCAATTCCAGAATAAACCCGGAGACAGGCCCCAAAAGCCTGCAAGACCCCCCTGAACCTGGACACAAACCCGAATCCTGCAGTGCAACAAACAAAACATGCACGGGTGCTGAAAAACGTGACTTTGCAGGAAAGGACGTCGTTTCCTTGGTTTTCCGTGTCCAGGTTTATCTGTGTCCTGGTCTCTGGGGGCCTGACTTCCCGTTCGTTGGCCATCGCTGGATATGATCCTGCATGTTCGCATCTCTGCCCGTTCGTTGGCCATCGCTGGATATGATCCTGCCTGTTCGCATCTCTGCCCGTTCGTTGGCCATCGTTGGATATGACCCTGCCTGTTCGCATCTCTGCCCGTTCGCTGGCCATCGTTGGATATGACCCTGCCTGTTCGCATCTCTGCCCGTTCGTGAGACGGGTGCAAGGCAGTTCCTTCTCGAAACATGGGGCTCTCTCTGGAAAGGCAGAGGCCCGTGTGGTGCTCCTCTTTCAAGGGAGCGCCCTCTGCACTCAAAAGAGGAAGGCCTGCGGGGACTCCTGTTGTGAGGGGGGGGCGGCTTGGCAGGAGAGGGTGAATCGCAGAATCGTCGATTCGGGGGCACGCAAACATGGCTTAGCGACCTATGGATTTGGCGCGCGGTCGCCAAATCCATGGATCGGGGCAGGTGCCCTCTCCAAGATGCGGCCGGTGCCGCCTCGCTCGGCGGCGGAAACCTGCATTTTTCTCATGGAAACGGGACCCGTCGCTAATCCACGCCCCCTTGATCCATGTTTGCGATCGCCTGACTCTTGTCCTCCTCCCCCCACGCCCCTCTTTCCCAGCCCGTCCCCCTCCGCTTAAGTCGGGCGTGTCCCCCTACAGGGGGATTTGGGGCGAAAAATGAAAATACTCAAAAAAATATATCCCAAATGCTCACAAACAGTCAAAAGATCGTCCCCAGATAATTGTTGGACTATTTCTGAATATCCCCCCTGTAGAGGGACACGCCCGCCTTAACCCTCCGCCCCTCCTCCACCTCGGGGAGACAGCGCGGCGGGCGAGGTCCGCCGAAACGGGGCCCGCACGCGCGCACCTTTGCTCGTGCCTCGGCCGCCCCTGCCGTACATGATGCGCATGGTGGGTGGCGGCGGCTCGGAGTCTGGCATGAACTCCTCCTGGAAAAGAAGCGTGATTCGGCGGAGGAGGAAAAGGTACCCATACCTCTATCCCCTCGCCCGTTTTCCCCTTTTTGGGCCTCCAGGGCGGCCCTCGTCGCCACCGCTGGATTCGCCTCGAAATCCGGGTCAGAACGCACCCTGGGAGAGGGCCGGGGAGTAGCGGTATCGGTACCTTTTGGTCTCCCCAGTGATGGAGAAGGGGAGGACGTGGAGGATGACAACGACGACGACGATGAAGAGCAAGAGGAGCACGGGGTAGGGGAAGAAGAGGCAGGAGGGAGATGAGGAGGAGCGACGGGACAACTTGAGGGAGCGGATGATGAGGAAGATAATTAAGCCAGGTGTGGGGACGGAATGAACAGGAGGGACGGGGAAGGAGGACAGAGGAAGACAAGGAGGATCAGACGATGGAGCGGATACGGACAGGTTAGTGTCCGCGGGTAAAAAAGAAACAAGCCGAAGGACGCCCGAACGCTGGTGAAACTGCACCTTCCCGTTAACATGCGAATCCTTCGTGTTGGGCAAAGCGGAAGGATAATAATACTTATCCTGGCGAAGGGCTCAACAACACGCAGTTGTGGGTACCGCAGCTGTGAGTATGGCCTTCGGTGGGTTTCCCCATCGGGCCACGAAACGCGCGAGGAGCATGCAAAAATGTGAGGAAGCGAGCGTGACGCCCACAAACGAACGATCCCTCTGGGCCGTTGGTGGAGCTACCTATGGGGCCACGGAACGCGTGAGGAGTGTGCCGAAACGGGCGTGACGCCCACAAACGAACGCTCCCTCTAGGCCTTTGGTGGAGCGCCCTATGGGGCCGCGGAACGCATGAGGAGTGTGCCGAAACGGGCGTGACCCCCACAACCGAACGCTCCCTTGGGGGCCTCCGGTGAAGCTACATATGGTGCCACAAAACGTGTGAGGGGTGTGCCGAAGCGGGCGTGACGCCCACATGCGAACGCTCCCTCAGGCGACTTCGGTTTAGCTCCCTATGGGGCCACGAAACGTGTGAGGAGTGTGCCGAAACTGACGTGACGACCACACGCGAACGCTCCCTCTGGGGCCTTCGGTGGAGCTCCATTTCGGGCCACGGAACGCGTGAGGGGTGTGCCGAAGCGGGCGTGAAACCCACACGCGAACGCTCCCTCTGGGGCCTTCGGTGAGGCTCCCTTTCGTGCCACGGAACGCGTGATGGCACGAAACGTGAAGGGGGTGTGCCGAAGCGTGCGTGACGCCCACCTGCGAACGCTCCCTCAGGCGACTTCGGTGGAGCTCCCTATGGGGCCACGAAACGTGTGAGGAGTGTGCCGAAACGGACGTGACGACCACATGCGAACGCTCCCTCTGGGGCCTTCGGTGGAGCTCCATGTGGGGTCACGAAACGCGTGAGGGGTGTCCCAGAATGGTTGATATGCGGAGGGCAGGTGCAGGGATGGAAGAGGGAGGGGGAGGAGGAGAGGAGAGAGGAGAGAGGAGAGAAGCGGGGACACTGTCTCTTCAGAATCGAAACGAGGCCCCAACACCTTAGGATGGTTGGGAAAGAGACGGAGAAGATGAAGACGCGCCAGACACATGGAATCTTGCAAACCAGTTGTGGCCGGGCTCTCTGGGACCGAGCTGCGCTGAAGGCAGGCGAACCCTGCGAGACCTGGCGAAGGCAGGGTGGAGGCCCCTGGCGTGCCAGCGTCTCTGGGAGGCCCGAAGAATCTGGAATGACATGCCGCTTCGCTCTTTCGGCATGCTGGTCAGCATCGTCAGCAGCTGCACGAATCGCCGAAGCCCATGGAGGGGAAGCACGGGAGGGAGGGGGGACAACAACGCCGCGCCGGCGGTCCTTGACGTAGTCCCTCTCCTGCCTGCGGCCTTTGCCGAAGCCCTTGCCGAAACCCTTGGGATAGCCCTTGCCGGCATGCAGCCTCGCTTCCGTGTGGGCGCTCGGCCTCCAGCCTCCTCCATGTCATCTGTTCCTCCGTCTTCGAGTCTCTTTCTCCTTCCTCTCCTTATCGCCTTTTCCCTCTCCCTCATCGTCCTCGTCGCCGCCGTCGCCGTCGTCGTCCTCCTCCTGATCCTCCTCCTCCTTCCCTCTTCTCCTCATCAACCCCATCCCTGGCATCTCATCCTGCTCCCTGCTCTCTCCTCCTCCAACTCCTCGGCCTCCTCCTCGTGCACCTCCGCCCAACCGCTTCTTCTTCCTCCTCCTCCTCCTCCTCCTCCTTCTCCACCCCTCCTCCTCTTCCTTTTCCTTTTCGTCCTCCCCATCCCCCCTCATAAAGCCTAAGACACGCACAGTGTCGGCCGACTGAACCAGAAACTGGTGGAATGGCGGGCCGTCTATCGACGGAGCCTGCCACGTTTCAAACTTGAAGCTTGCAAGTTCGACTCACTGATCGCTGTCGAAGAAGAGGGACAGATACACGAATGGGTAGCGCGGAAAAACAAGGACGGGGGAGAGCAGGCGCGGGGAAGAAGAAGCAAGCAGGGGGAGGGAGGCGAGAGCGGGAAAGAGAAAACGAGAGGGAAAGAAGTGGCACACTGGAACTTAATTCGATCAAGAGTTCGAGTCTGGACAGTCTGGACTCTGACTGCGGCTTTTGCGTGATCGAAATCCAAAAAGTCCCGCGACCACTTCTCCTCCCTGCCCCTCTCCCCCCCGTTTCCCCCCCCCTCCCCCTCCCGATCCCCCGTCAGTCGCCCGTGGAGAGCCAGCCCACGCTCCAGCTCCCAGGGGGCCGAGACCTGCTCCAGAGGGAAAGGGGGCACACGACCACCATCGCCGCCACCACCATGACCACCACACCACCACCACCACCACCACCACCACCACCACCACCACCACCACCACCACCACCACCACCACCATCGCCGCCACAACCACCTTCACCACCACCTTCACCACCACCACCACCCACCACCACCACCACCACCACCACCACCACCACCACCACCACCACCACCACCTTCACCACCACCACGACCACCACCTGGTGCGGACACTGCTGCTCCGTGGGGTGCAGGCGTGCGGGACGGGCACGCCTCCGCGGCGAGCCGGCGCGCTGTGCGGGGGCGCGAACGCTGGCGAACGCTGGCACGGAGGAGGGACCCCAGCCACGGCGGTGGGGGGGGACGCTTTTTTGAAATAATGTTTGAATATCTGTTTGTATTTTTGGTGTATTTTCTAGTTTTCGTCCGAAATCCGCCTTTAGGGTGACACGCCCGACCTAAATGTACCCCTGTCCTAAGCCACGAGCGATGAACGTATCCGGATCCGCGCCCTCGGTCTGGACTCCCGGGCGCGCTTCCGCGGGTGCGCGGTCGCACGGATGCGTCCCGCGCGGGGCATGCGCGACAAAACGCCCCGTGTCCGCGAGGTCGCGGCCCAGGGGCCTGGCCCGCGAGGCCGCGGATACGGACATGTTCTCGCCCACGACTAGCCCCGGCCCAGGCTGGGGGAGCCGGGGCACGGCCCGATGTCCCCGCGCCACCTGGGCCGTCTGGGCCGCCGCCGCCGTCGGCCGTCGTGGGCCCGCATCTTTCCTGCACCTCCTCGTCCTCCTCATCTCGTGTCTTCTGCTCGTCCTCGTCGTCATTCTCCTCGTCCTCCTCCATACCTTCTGCGGCAACTCATGGGAGCCTACCGGACCATCTTGCTGGCCCTCGCGGATCGCCGCCAGCCCACGCCAGATCAGCGCTTTCTCGTCGATTACCAGATGCTAGCTAGGACACCGTAAGAACGGAATTCCGAGGACACGCACGGCTCCCATGATTTGCTACCGAACCATACCTTTACCGTTTAATGTAAGTACCTCCTCCCTGTCGCACTCCAGACGTGTCAGTAGTGCGAGCTGGGCGTTTCGCCTGAGCCTTCCTCACCACTTATGAGTCTGAAGCTCAAACTCATAACGAGGGTGGAGTGGTCGTCTTCCAAATTAAATAGGGTGCTCGCCTGAGCGCCGCGCACAGTCGTCTTACAAGTCTGCAACGCTGACATGGACGGAGCATAGATCGTTTTCAAATATGGTTCTCGCCCAAACACAACATACACTCGCGCGAACACTTGTAATACATTGAACTACGCAGGACGGTTTTCAAAAGGTGGATCTTGCCTGAGCGCCGCGCGCTTTCGTCTTCAAATATTGCAACCATTTCTGGGGGGCGGCGAATGTTTTTTCCGCAAACCTCTGTAGTGTGGTCTGGGATTTGGGGCCCCTGCTTCCCATGTGTCCCGAGATGGCCCGCAGGGGCCATCCAGGGGCTCCCCTGCCGGCCTCTTGGTCCGCCTGGGAGGCCCTGGGAGTCAGCCCGCGAGGCCAACACCCTGAAACAAAACGCGCAGGTGGTTGTGCGATTACTCCGGATTCCATAATAAAGTAGGGGGGGGTACATTTGGCGGGGGGGTCTGATTTGAGCTGTCTTGAAGGGTTAGGGGGGGTCTGGGCAAAGTGCCGCCCTTTCATGGATGGTCTGGGGGGGTCAAAAAACTTCTCGTCTGGGAGGGTTGAGACCCCCCTCCCTTTGATTACGAAATCTGGAGTGCCGGTCGGTGCTCCCGGGGGTGGGGGCCGGGATAAGGGCAGCGCGTGGGCCGGGTGGGGCACGCGGAGGCGGGGGTCCGCTGCGGCCGCCGCAGTACGCGCGCAGGCACCAAGTGGACTCCGACCTTGAAGGGGCCCTGGGACACACAAATAAATACACACAAATAAAAACATTCCCCATATTTTCCCATACTTTATGGGTTTTTGTCTTCCCCACCACTTCCCATATTTTCCCATATTTTCTGGGGGATCGACGATTAATTGTGTCTGTGTGTTTTTTCCCTCCTGAGACCTATCCCCCGGGACCTGTGCGTCGTCCTGGACCGTTTTCTGACGGCCCATGGGGCCCGGCGAGGCCGAAAGTAGCCCCAAATCCTCCGTCATGGTTTTTTCATTGCCCGAGAGGGTCCGAGTCAGCAGCGCCTCCTGCTCCTTCGAAGGCCGCCCCCACACACGCACCAGCATGCGTGTGTGGGGGGGGGTCCAGGCCCCTTCCCGGATGGGGGGGGGGAGGGTAACGACCGCTACGCGCCAGGGGAGAAACAAGTCCATCTCTTTTTGTTGCGGGCGTGAAGGTGCTCGAGGCGACCAACCAAGAGAGCCTCAGGAGAGGGCCGAAGAGGGCCCCAGCATGTCACCAGGTTGACCTGAGAAAGGGAACTCGAACTGCCGTTCGGACCCCCCCCCACCCCAAAGGGGGCCCCGAGACTGCGAGCAAACTACCTAAGGGGCCCCTAGAGGCCCCAAGTACGCCTCTAAAAGTCGCCAGATGGGCTACCAGAGAGGCATCAAACTTGGCAAGAGGTCGCCATTGCGTGAGGCAATTGCGAGCAAATGAGCGCAGCGTGTGGCGTCCTGGTGACACTCGGAGCCGAGCTGTCATACTGCATGATGAAGCTCTTGAGGTCCTGTGCCAGAGCCCGCGCTGCCTCCTGATGCTCAGGCTGCCCATGTTCCTACACCTCGTGCTGATTATCCTCGTCCTCATGATCACGACCATCTTGTTGTTCATCCCTCCACTCTTCTTGCTAACCCTCTTACTCCAAATTCATCCTCCCGCCTCCCCTCCTTTGTTTTGCACTCCACTCCTCCATTTGTTCCATTTGCATTCGTCCTCCAATTTCCGTTAACCTTCTACCCCATCCCTCCTCGCCCATCCCGGCTCGCTCCCCCTCCCCGATCCTCCGCATTCCCTCATCACCCCTTCCCATTCCCGACTCCCCCATACCATGTCCCTCATATCCACTCTCCCTTATGCATCGTCCTATTTATCCTCCACCTCGTCCTCCTCAATATTCTCACACTCCTCCTATTCCTGCTACGTGTTCCTCGTCATTCTCATATGCATAAGTTTCCGGATGCTGTTCCGACTCCTCTCCTCCAGTGTGCCAATATGTTCTCATCCGTGGTCTCCTCCTCCTAGTTCTGCATCTCGGGATCTCATCACACGTCCTCCTCGGTCTCCTCCTCCTCCTCCTCTTCAAGCTCATTTGCTGTTCCTCCTTCTCCTCCTCCGTTTTCAGCCGTTCCCTCCTCCTCCTCCTCCTGACGGAGTCGCCATATGGTCCTTGGGGAGATCCTTCACCACCTCCTCCGTCCTCCATCCTTCATCTTTTCTGAAGCCTCCTTTCCCTCCGCTGCAATCCGTCATCCCACCTCTTCCTCTCTGGAGGTCCCCGGATGCTTGAAAAAGCCTCACGAGGCAGACAAACTTGCAAGCACGCGGAAACAACTCCTCGCTCCTCCATCCTCCCTGCGCCCTCTGCTCTTCCAGCTCGCTCCTCCGTCCCTGCCTCCCTCCCTGCTCCACTCTGCCTCCTCCTGACAGCGGTCGCGCCCCCGCTGGTACTGACGATCGTGCTCCTGCTCCCGCTCCTGCTCCTCGTGCTCCTCGCCGTCATCGTCCCCTCTTTTCGTCCTCCTCGTCTTCCTCGTCGCGTTCCTCGGGCTCCCCCTCTTTTTCCCAACCATCCTGTCGTGTTGGGCCCTCGTTTTGAATCCGAACCGCCCCGCGACAATCCTTCCCTCTTCCTCCCCCTCCTCCCTCTCACCCTTCGCATTCCGGCACACCCCTCGCACGCTCCGTGGCCACATTGGGGCCACACCTAAGGCCCAAGTGCCAAAGTACACATGAGCTTCAGCCTCTCATTCCGGCACACCCCTCGCACGTGTCGTGGCCCCACAGGGAGCCCAAGCTCAGGCCCGACTGCCAAAGTTCACATGGGAGCTCTCGCCGATTATTTCGGTAAACCCCTCAAACACGTCGTGGCCCCATAGGGAGCTCCACCGAAGGCCCAAATGCAAAAGTTCATATGAGTTCCCGCTATTCATTCGGGCGCGCCCCTCACACGCTCCGTGGCCTTACAGGGAGCCCAATCTACGGCCCAAATGCAAAAAATTACATGGGAGCTCCCGCCCTTCATGTCGGCGCATCCCTTGAACGTGTCGTGGCCCCACAGGGGGTCCCAGCTGAGGCCCAAATGCCAGAGTTCACACGAGTTCCCGCCCATCGTTTCGGCACATCCCTCGAACGCTTCCTGGCCCTATGGGGAGCCCTAGGTTAAAAGCAAATACCACAATTTACACGAGCTCCCTCTACTCATTTCGGCACACCCCTCGCACCCTTCGTGGCTCCATAGGGAGCTCCAACTAAGGCCCCTATGCAGAAACAATTCGCATGAGCTGCCGCCTCTCATTCCGGCACACCACTTACACGTTTCGTGGCCCCACAGGGAGCCCCAACTAAGGCCCAAATGCAACAATTCACATGATCTCCCGCCCCTCACTTCGGCGCATCCCTCGCATGTTTCGCGGCCCCATGGCCGATGGGGCCCAACCAAGGCCCGATTGGCCTCCATTCCGTCACACCCCTCACACGCCTCGTGGCCCTATAGGGAGCTCCAACTAAGGCCCAACTGCCAGGGTTTGCACGCGTTCTTTCGGGGCGACCTGCGCGCGTCGCAAGGACTCCGCACGCGCTGTGCTTCCACGAGCTGCCCTTCCGACGTGGAACGGGGGCCACATCTGTATCTCTTGCGGGCGCCTGGAAGAAAGCGCTCTCCTAGCATACGCTCGCTCCGCAGCTCGCGCCCCCGTCCCATCGTGCTCCTGTGTGCCTCTGCTCATCCCCTCCGTGTCCCAGTCCTTATTGCTCGCCCCGCCCCCCTTTGTGTTCGCAGCTGCGCACGGCTCGGCCCTTCGCCAGGGGGAGTCTTACCGACGCTTGGCAGAATGAGACCGACTGGGACCGCAGCGTCGGGATGGCAAGACGGCGGCATACCAAAAACCAGTCATCTCGTTCATCCTCCCTCTCCTCCCCCTGTCGGGGATGGGCACCATCTCCTTTAGCAGAGAGCCCTCTAGTGACTAGTGAAAGTTGCCAGGCGCGCTCCACGTGCGCACGGCCGCGCGGCACCGCATGCCGAGCGGAACTCCCGCGCGGCAACTCACCGAGCCTATGGGGCAAAACGCAGGTCGTGAGCGAAACAGACGGGGGCTGCACCGGTACCCCCGAATGCCACTGTCGAGTGAACCCGTGCAGATCTCCTCGGTCGACTCGTCTGCGGGGGCATTCTGTCAGCTCTTCCCGACCCTGTCCCCGCCCGTCTCCTCCCCTGCCTCCCCCCCGATCTCTCCCCGCAATGCCCAACACCATCCCTCTATCCCCTCATGCCAGTTCCACTGCTTCTGCGGCAACTCATAGGAGCCTATCGTACCATATCGCTGACTCTTGCGAATCGACGCTGGTCGACGCTAGTCGACGCTAAATCGACGCCAATCGACTCTTGCTAATCGACGCTAGTCGACGCTAATCGACGCTAATCGACGCTAGTCGACGCTTATCGACGCTAATCGACGCTAGTCGACGCTAATCGACGCTACTCGACGCTAATCGACGCTCATCAACGCTAGTCGACGCTAATCGACGCTAGTCGACGCTAATCGAGGCTCATCGACGCTAATCGACGCTAATCGACGCTAATCGTTGACTCTTGCTAGTCGACGCTAAGTCGACGCTAAATCGACGCGAATCGTAGCCAAATCGGCGCTTTCTCGTCGACTACCAGGCGCTGGCGCACGCTAGCACACTCCAACGACGCAGTTGCGAGGACACGCGCGGCTCCCATGATTAAAGGGGCCCCAGGATACACAAATGAATACACACAAATAAAAAGATTCCCCATATTTTCCCATATTTTCTGGGTTTCTGTCTTCCCCCCCACTTCCCATATTTTTCCTATATTTTCCTGGGGATCGTCGATTAATTGTGTCTGTGTGTTTTTTCCCTCTTGAATGATTTGCTACCGAGGCCATCCCTCTATCCCCTCATGCTTTCTCCACTCCCCTTCCCCCCCCCCCTTTTCCCCGTTTCCTTTTCCCTGCTCCAACTCCTCCCCCTCCCCAGGTGGCGCGGCAGGTCCTGGTGCTCCTTGGAGAGAGAATCCTCCTCTGCCACCCTGGCCCTCACCAGCTTCGAATCCTCTGGGATCTCGATCTGCTTCACCAGCAACTTCCCCCCTGTCTTCCTGCACATGGTTTTTTTTTTGGTGTGTGTGTGTGTTTGTATGCGTGTTTGTGTGAACCGGTGCGCGCTTCTTCGACCTGTGCTACGCCGGGCCGCCACGCGCGTGGCCGCGACTCCTAGACGGTGCGCGTGTGAGTGTGTGTGTGTGTGTTTGTGTGATTGCCCTGCCACTGCTCAGTAAGGGCCCGGCGGCTAATTTTCTCTGATCAGCGCGCGCGCGCGTCGGCCAACATCATCCGGCATGGAGCAGCTCCTGTGTGTGTTTGTGTTTGTGTGTGTGTGTGTGCGTGTGCGTGGTGCGTGCGTGTGTATGTGCGCGTCGGCTTGTCTTAGGCTCGACCCGGGACCCTGCCGGTCGGCTCGCCCCTCGCCGGCTTCCCCTCTGGTGGGGGCCCGCAACTCAAGACTGGCACCGGTGCCAGGGCTGGCGCCGGCTCTTGGTCCAGCCGCGCCTGGTCGTTGCACACCTGCCTTTGCTGTTGCCCGCTTGGCGGTGCCCTCGAGGGGTCCTGCCCTCATGCTAGCATTCGCGCTGCCATGTTTCTGTGTGTGCCCCTGTCTTCTGCTCCTCGCGGGGATTGTGCAGCCTCTCTGCTCCCAGACCCCCGACGTCATGATTATTTCGTGACGTCGACCCCCAGAGGATTGGACCCATTCCCCAGGACCGTTTTTCATCCTGAGTCGTTTTTTGACGGTCCCGAGGCCCGGTAGGGGCCCCCAGAGGCCGAACATATGGAAAAACCTCCCGTCGTGATTTTTTCATGACTCGAGGGGGTCTGGGCTGGAAGATGGCTCTCGTCTTGGCTCAGGCTCCCGCCGCAGGGCTGGGCCCGCGCGTGCTCAACGCTTCGCCGTTTGGGCAATGGGGGCGCGGGCGCCCTGGCCTCCCTCGGAGTTATCTCTTCTCTCGCCCGGCCAGCGCCGGCCAGCACGTTTTGTCCTCTTTGTCTGTTTCGCCCCCCGCGTTGGGGATGTCCTTCGTGAGCACGGGCGGCGCCGCGCACAGCGACGCGGCCCTCAAGCTGGCACGCTCGGTGCCGACACTGCTGCTGCAGCTCGTTTCGGGAAGGCCTGGCCGGTGGCCCGACAGCTTTCCCCCCTGTTCTTGCCGCGTCTGCCCAGGCAACCCGTTGTCGTTGCGCTCCAGTCGTCGCGCCCTTACCTGGGGAAACCAAAGGGTACCGATCTTGCTACTCCCCGGACCTGTCCTGGGGCGCGTTCTGACCAGGATTTCGAGGCGAATCCAGTGGTGGCGACGGGGGCCTCTGAGGAGGCCCAAAAGGGGGAAAACGAGGAAAGGGTAGAGGCATGGGCACCTTTTCCTCGTCTGATTACAATCCAGCACCGCTGGCTCAAACTTTCGCACGACGCCCGCTGCCAGCGGCGTCCGGCTTGTACACTCTGCGCTCCCACCGCACACCGCCTTGTCAACCGGTGGCGCTCGGCCCCTGCTTCTGCATTTTGCCTGGTCGCTCGCCAACATCTTCACGCCCATGCGCGTCTCCGCGTCTTTTCCTTCACGCGACTGCCACCACCCAGGTCCACCAATCTGCTACGCCAAATGGAAATTCGCCTAAGCGTGGCCCAGCTTGGCGCTTCGCGACGGTGCCGTCACCTCACCGCTGTATGAAAAAGTGTGTCTGTGTGCGTGTGTGTGTGGGCGTGGGTGTGCGTGTGGTGGGGGGGGGCGGCTGGGGGGGAGGGGGGGCGGCTTGGGGAGGCATGGTGGGAGGAGGAAGGGAGGAGAGGGAAGAGGAGAGAAGCAGATGAAGAGGGAGAGGAAGGCTGCAGAGGGAGCGGGGGGAACCAGCGTGGTTCGGAGGTCCCCACATTGCGGCCTTAAGCGACCAATGCTTAACATAGTTCCTGAACTCCAACGCGTTCGAGGTCATCAAATCTTGATCTCTCCTCACATTCGAACATAGGAGAGGAAAGACGCGGGGTTGGGAGGAGGGGAGGGGCGAATCAAGGAACGGAGGCGAGGGGATTGAATAATCTGGGCCATGCCATGTTGTATCCATTTCTGCCGTGCTCCCGGAGGAGGGCAGGGAGGAAAGGGGAGAGAGGGAGGGGAAACAACAGGAAGGGGTGGGTGGGGAGGAGATGAAAGGACATCAACAGTGGTAGCATCGGCATGTGTAAACGACGGTCAGTCACACTGTGACGCAACTGCCTGCTCGGAAACAGGGGTAGGGGGGAGGGCTTGGGAGGAAATGCCGAGGGAGAGGAACGCAAGGCCAGAGGGATGGGAGGGGCGGAGTGATGGGAGGCAGAAGTGGGAGAAGAATCTTGGAGGAGCTCGGGGGTAGGCTGAGGTAGAGGGGGGGGAGGCGGGCAAAGACTCGGAGAGGCACAACACGACGGCCCTCCCTCGTGCCCAGGCAATGGTCCGCGACCAGCTCCCCACCTACCCGCTCGAGGGTTGATGGCCTCTAGCACGGGGGGGCAAGCGAGGAGACCCCTCGCGCGCGGCGGGGAAGGCCACGCGTCCTCTGCATCCGAGGCCGAAACCCACCAAGAGGTCCCCAGGACGTCCCAAGAAGCTCTCTGACGAGACATCCAGCAGCAACCCTGGCTGGCCTTCTGGTGACTGGGGGGGGGGGCGGTTCTCGACCCACACACTCTGTTTACGGCGAGTGGGGGGGGGGCCATCAGACGGCAATGGTATGTTGACGGTGATGCGGGCGATGATGGCATTGCCGATGGTGAGGGCGACGGTAATGATGATGGTGACAGCCTGACAGCGATGCGAATGCTGATGCTGGTGGTGACGCGGATGATGGTGCCGACAAGGGTAGCGATGACGAGGACGGCGTTGGCGCTGGTGATGGGGATAGCGATGCCGATAGTGGTGTCAATGATGGTGGGGATGTTGGTGGGGATGCTGGGGTTGATGGAGTGGTGGTGGTCATGATGATGATGGTAGGCTGATAGCGATGCTGCTTGTGGTGATGCTGATGGTCGGTGTGATGATGGTGATGCTGATGATGCGCGGGTGGTGATCATGCGCATGGCGAGGAAGATGGAGTCGCAGGTGGAGGCGGACTTGGAGGAGGAGGAGGAGGAGAAAGATGAGGCGGGGTCGGAAACTGATACTTGGTTTCCTCTATACGGTTGGTTTCTCCATGCGGCTCTGGTTATGCAGAAAGCTCTCTATGGTGTTACCCATATGGCTGCGCACCGTCGGGTTCGGGGTAGGGATATCCCGAATGCTCTCCATGTAGTTCTCAATGCGGTTCCCCCAAGGGGGGGGGCAACGATTCCTCGACTGGTCAGCATGAGGTTTCTCCATCGGGTTCTCCTGAGGATCACGCCAAGGACTATCCGTATGGCTGTCCCTGGAGTTCTCCACATGGTTCTCTATCGTGTTATCCCTAGGGTTCTCCAAATGATTGTCCATGAGGCTCTGCTTAGGCCTCCTGGCAGGGCTCTCACTTAGGCTCCCATTGGCGTTCTCCATCGGATTCTCCATGCTTAGGGTTCTCGACGAGGCTATCCATGGCTTCTCCATGGGAGCTCCACATGGCTCTCCGTTGGGTTCTCCTCTGTTTGTCCCACTGAGTGCTCCATGGGGGCCCCCGTCGGGCTTCCTAGAGGGTTCACCACCGGGCCTCCCGACTCTCCACTGGACTGTCCATCAGCGGAGCCATGGTGTGGATGACTACGAACTCGATAACACGACGGTGACGATCGCGGCAACAGGACAACGGTTGCACTCGAATGCGATGTTTGAGCCTCTGGGCTGCGCGGGATCTGATTCGAATCTGAGGTTCGAACCAGAGGGGCGCCTCGGAACTCATCCGAACCACGGAATTCGGACCAGATGAGTCTCCATAGCCATGGGGCTGCGCGGAATCTGGTTACCGAACCACGGCGTTCAAACCAGGATGGCACCCCAGAACCCAATCGAAAGACGACGCTCGAATGAGTTCTGAGGTATCCCCATTGTTCGAGCGCCGTGGTTCGAAACTATATGGTTAGCAGTAATTACACCAGACAGAAACCCCGATCAGTGGATGGTTTGAAAATTAGTGATATGGATATTGAGATCGATTGTCAGATCGATAGTGGAATCGATAGAAAGAACGTGGAAGGTCGATCATGAGACCGATAGTGAAGTCGATTCAATGAGATCGATAGTGAGATCGATCGTGAGATCGCTCGTGCGATCTATAGTAAGATCGATTGTCGATAGTGAGATCGATTGAGAGATCGATCGTGAGATCGATAGAGAGGTGGGTAATGAGATCGATGGTGCGAAAGATCGATAATAAGATCGACGAAGAACCTGGGAACCCAGGAACCCCGCCGCCCACCGACATCGGCTCGGAACCCGGGACCAGGAACCCGGGAACCCAGAAACGGGAACCCGGGAACCCGGCGGCCTACCGAAATCGGCCTGGCACTTTTGCCAAATCCTTCAATCTCCGCTAGGACCCCCTTCAGTGCAAGCACTGATTGGGGAATAATTGTGGTGATGATGTCAGCAGGAGCGGAAAGAGGTGGCGATATCAGCAGGTCGCACCAGCCTCCCGCCAGTCTCGATCTAGCTCCGGCGGCAGACGGGCTGGGTGGACAATGGCGGTGACGACGAGGGAGAAGAAAGAACCTGGGCAGAGGGGGCCCCAGGGCGATCAATTATCTCAACCGTTTGTCCAGTCGCCACAAGGTAACAAGGCTACGGATTGATGACACTGGCTGGTGATGGTGACAACGATGAAAATGGTGGTGCTGATGAGTACGACGACGATGACGATGATGACGACAATGATGACAATAATGATTGTGATGCTGATGCTGATGCTACTGTTGCTGGTCATGATGATCACGATGGTGGTTATGATGATGTTGCTCATGTTCATGATGATCAGTGACAAGTGTGCTTGTGAGAGTGATGATGGTGGTGGTAGTGATGAGGGATACAAGGAGGTCAGAAGGGCAAAGGAATCAAACCCCCAGCCTCCTCACACCATTGCCCCAATACACGAAGCCAGCTGGGAGGGCGTGTCCTGGGAGGGGATTCCCCTCCCCCCCCGCCCCTGGCCCGCTCCTCCCCATGCAAAGAGCGGTTAAGGAAAGGCTGATCACCTGTGTATACAGGGAGACGGCCGATGGGCCGTTGCTGTATGGGGTCCGTTGGTAGAGGTTTATTTTCCTGGGCACTGCGAAGCGGGCAGTGCGCAAAGGTCAGTTAACCAATACCTTGAGCCAATACACTTGCGGAAGGGATGTAATAGGGCAGCAAGCGGACTTCACACACATCCCCCTCCCCCCCCGCCCCCGGCCCGCTCCTCCCCCATGCAAGGCCCGCGCTCCTTTGCAGCAGGCCGAAGGCGCCTGGGACGGCGTTCGGCGAGGCGTCGGCTCGCTTGGCCACCGCCTGCGGACGTTGGACAGGTGGCGAGCCCGCTCCCCCCTGGCCTCGACCTGCGGAGCCCTCCTCCTCCTCCTCCTCCTCCTCCGCCTCCGCCTCCTCCTCCTCCTCCTCCTCCTCCTCCTCCTCCTCCTCCTCCTCCTCCTCCTCCTCCTCCTCCTCCTCCTCCTCCTCCTCCTCCTCCTCCGCCGCCTCCGCCGCCCTCCTCCTCCTCCTCCTCCTCCTCCTCCTCCGCCTCCTCCTCCTCCTCCTCCTCCTCCTCCCTCCTCCTCCTCCTCCTCCTCCCTCCTCCCTCCTCCCTCCTCCTCCCTCCTCCCTCCTCCTCCTCCCTCCCTCCTCCTCCCTCCTCCTCCTCCCTCCTCCTCCCTCCTCCTCCCTCCTCCTCCTCCTCCTCCTCCTCCTCCTCCTCCTCCTCCTCCTCCTCCTCCTCCTCCTCCTCCTCCTCTCCCTGCCTCTCGAAGCACTCCCAGCCCATCCGGCACTCCTGTCCTGCTGCCCCTGCCTTGCGATGGACCGCGCATGAATGCGGGTCGGGGGTTGATTCTGGGAGCCCCGGGTGGCCTGCTGGACGCCGCCAGGGGCATCCTGGGAAAAAGCACCGCGAGGCCCCAGCAAATCATGCAGAGCCACTGGGCAAGCCCCAGAGGGCCGAATGAAGCCTTACCTCTCAAGATCGGCTGACAGTCATTTCCGCTCATGGTCCACCGTGCGCCGTACCCCCTCCCTTCCCCTCTCCCTCCCCCCTCCCTCACTCTTTCTTTCGTGTCGCCCCCCCACTTTACCCCCTCCTCCCCCATCCCATGTACCTTTCACCTCCCTCGCTCCCTCTCTCCCCACCGCCCCTCCTCTCCTCTCATTTTCTTTGACTTCCTCGACTTCCACCCTCCACATCCTCCTATTCATCAAGTTGTTCCTTCTACTCCTCGTCCTCCTCACAGTCATCGCCATCATCACAACCACTGCCATCAGCCTCATCCTCGTCATGGTCATCGTCGTCGTAATCACCATCACAAACACAATTACCATCACCATCACCATCACCATCACCATCACCATCACCATCACCACAATCATCATCATCATCACCATCATCAGCATCATAATCAATATCATCACCAGTAGCATCAGCATCATCACCGTCATCAGTATTATAATCAGTAGCATCAGCATTAGCATCATCATCAGCATCATCATCATAAGTAGCAGCGTCATCATCATCATCAGCAGCATCAGCATCAGCATCAGCATCAGCATCAGCATCAGCATCAGCATCAGCATCATCATCATCATCATCAGCATAAGTAGCAGCGTCAGCATCAGCATCAGCATCGGCATCAGCATCATCATCAGCATCACCCCCCTTCGCTCTCCTCCTCCTCCTCCTCCTCCTCCTCATCATCATCATCATCATCATCATCATCATCATCATCATCATCATCATCATCATCATCATCATCATCATCATCACCCTCATCCTCATCCTCGTCCTCCTCCTCGCCGTCCTGCTCCTCCTCCTCCTCCTCCTCCTCCTCCTCGTCCTCCTCCTCCTTCTCCTCCCGGAGGAACAAAAAACAATATTAACGTAATTTCTTGGAGGTCCGCGTGGCCTTATTGACGCTGCATCCCCCTCCCTGTCGCGCGGAGCGCGCCAGGGGCGGCGCCGGAGGCGTCGCCAGAGGGGCCCAGCGCCGATCCACAACATCCGCGCGGAGCGCCGAACAATATGCCGTTTTTGCCTTCATTACCTTTTGCGATACGCACCCACCTCCTCCTCCTCCTCCTCCTCCTCCTCCTCCTCCTCCTCCTCCTCCTCCCACGTCGCCCTCTCCCCGTCGCTCTTCCCTATCAGTCCTCCCGTTCGCGCGTCTTCCTCCTGCCCCCTGGCGTCCACCCACCCCCTCCTCCTGCCCCTCCTCCTCCTCTCCTCCTCCTCCTCCTCCTCCTCCTCCTCCTCCTCCTCCTCCTCCTCCTCACCGGTCTCCCCATCTCCGTCGCTCCTCGCCGTCGCTCCTCCTTTCCCCGCGCCCTGCAGCTGCCCCCCTGGCGTCCGGCCTGCTCGGGCATCGGCAGCTCCGCAAGAACGCGCTGGCCGACCTCTTGCGGTGAGGGGTAGCACCAGCGAGTAGGAGGCAGAATCCGTCAACATCTAATCGATAGATCGGCTTCGAATCGAAATGTGCGTCGGATCCGGCTGCATCGGCACGGAGCCCAAATCGACTTGGATCGGCTGCGCCAGGATGTACAACAGCGTCATGGAAGCATCGGGGCGCATCGGATCTCCAGGAAGTCGAGATCGAATCGGATCGAGCTGACCGAACTCGATATCGAATCAGATCGATCGGATCGGAGTGGGCCCTGGGCGGAGGCGAGGCCCCAGCAGATACTTGAGAACCATCCTGCAGGCCTCGCGCGACAAATTGACACCCAGTTTACGCCAGATCCACGAGGAGGAGGAGGAGGAGGAATAAGAGGAGGAATAGGAGGAGGAATAGGAGGAGGAATAGGAGGAGGAGGAGGAGGTCAGATTGACGTCGGATTTATGTCGAATTCATACCGAAATCACGCCGGACTTACGTCGGAACAGCGCCGCGCGAGCGTCGTTCCAAATCTTCTGGGGCGGACGTGTGGACTGGATGATGCAGCTATTGCGCGCCGCGCGAGGCCTCCAGGAATCTCCTCGCGGAACTAACCAGAGACTGCGATTGACCAGCGCACCACGTCGACGACGTTTGCTGAAACACACTGCAAAGGCTTGGTTTCCAACAAGTGACCCAGACTATAACCAGGTCGAAGGCAACCCCTTCCCCGTGATCAGTTCCCCGCTTGGGGGGGGGGGGGAGACTAGGAGACCACCCATGCACTCCCCACCCTCCCTGGAGTGACTCGGGCGATCTTGGGGCCGCTTTGGCCATCTTTGGGCCCCCTATTCAGGCTCGCTGGAGCTCTCTCGGGGCGAACCTCGGTCAACTTCGGCACTCTTGGGGATCCCTCGAAGCGTCTTGGAGACCCTGGGGGCCGGCCCGAGAGCCCCAAATCTGCTAAATCCCATATGGTTCCCCCCTGAGATTTCATACTTCTCGCCGAATCGGTCGCCAGAGCGTCCAGGACGGCACGGGAAGCCCCCAAGAGTGGCCCCGAAGGACCCCCAAGACGGGCCCAACTGGCTCTAATGACGGACACAAGAAAGGGCCCCCGAAGCACCCACCCGCCGCGCCGCTTAAGCCAACCTCAAGACCCGCAACAGACCCCCAAGAGGGGCCCAAAGGGCCCCAAGGTGCACCCAAGCGGGCCACCCCCATGATCCCCCTAAGAAGCTCCCCAAGAACCCCCAACATGTCGCCAAGACCTGCGATTCACTACCCAAACTCAATGGAGAGACGGGCCGAAGGCCACTAGACTTGCGTCCTCGCATGAGAGACGCCAATGCGGCTTGCGTTGTCTTCGTCCCCCTTTTCCACTTCTTGTGGTTAATCTGATCTCTTCTCAGGGTCTGCGGAACCGACCGTAAGACCTTTGCAACAACTCCTCCTCGCCGCACCGCCAGACATGGTGATTGGGCGAGCAGGGCACGTTGTCTCAGACTTCCTTCCAACGTAGCTGGCATTTTTTCTAACTGCTGCACAGACGGAGGGCGGCATTCCTTCAAACTGTGATCTCGCCTCCGCGCCGCGCACATTCGTCGCACCATCTTGCAACAGTTGCAGGGGTGAAGGTTGTGTTTGTCAAAACGAAGCTCACGTCTTCCTTGACTTTTATGTCCTGGAAGTTGGGATGTGCAAGGGTCGCGCGGCTGGAGCGCCATTCCTGCTAGAGAGAAGTGCGATCTGACCTCTTGGCGAAATTTGGTGGCTTAGGGGCTACCTCTTCCAACCCCCTCTTCCACTTCGGGGGGGAGGTTGTCTGGATCTCCAGCAGATGTGCGCATGGTTGTGGACGTGTGCGCGTACAGTCGGGGCGTTGACCTAAGGAACCCTACATAAGGAACGAGGCCCCTTTTTTCTCCACAAATTAACCTTCGATTTCCCATCGTGAACATAAGGAAAACCTGAGGCAAGCCGTGAAACACTTAGGGAACACCGAGCCCCTCCCCAACGAAAAGGGTTCCTTCCTCAGGGCCCCGATTGTAATGCTGGTGTGGATGGGTCGGATGTGTGCACCCTGCTGAGCCCTTAGCATGGCCTCTTGCCTCGAGGCCTCTCACGCTGGGGAGCTTATCGGGGGCCCTCTTTTGGGTTCCCTGGGGGTTTCTTCGGGTCCGTCTTGCTGCCAATTACGGTTGGCTACAACGACCAGGTCGCGATTGTGACTTGTTCTTGCATCTTGGGGCCATCACGAGTTGTCATTGGACACTGTTGGGCCGGTATTAGGGCCCTCTTTGGCCGTCGTTGAGCCCGCTTGGTTTTTTTGTTGGGCCGTGTCGTTGGGCAAGCTTGTGCCATATCGGTTGGGCGACCTGACGTTCGATCGAAAAGGCGGGTACCTGGAAATCCTTCGCACCCTGGAAGGCTCCTGACGACTTCGCCTCTTGGGACCGTCTTGGAGCCCTCTTGGGCCAACTTGCAGGCTATCTTGGACCATCGTGGCCGTCGTGAAGTCGATCGTGACAGCTTCAGAAAACAACAATGCCGCAGGGCGGCCTGGGCCATCTTGGAGCTAGCCCTGCACCGCCTGGGAGACATGCCAAGGCCAAAACCAGCACCCGCACGCTGGTCCTGCGTCGACTGGAGGGGCTAACGTGTTCTTGTTAAGAGATGCCCATCCCTGCGGGGGAAGCAGGGAGGGTCTGGGGCGTCCAAGATGTTTGACGGCATTTCCAGCTCCACGGGTAAGGCAAAGAAAACAACGATCAGGGGGAGGAGGAGATCCAGGGACGACTGTGTTGACGTGCGCAAGATGAGCAGCAGCAGAAATAGCAGCGTAGTGGGGACAGGCGGGGGAGGGGACGAGGAGGCCGGCGAATACCATGAGAACGAGAGCAGAAGAGGAGGAAGGTGGAATACAAATGAGGGAGGATTCGGATGCGAAAGGAGGACGAGGATGGGAGGAGGCAGGGTCAGCCTGCTTTTCTTTCTCCAGGGAATCGCTCAGCAGTTGCTTCATCTCCTGCCAGCGCATGGGCTCGCACGGCACGGCATCGCCCAGCGCCATGCGGCATGTATACCAGGCAAGACATGCCATTGCATTTCCCCGCTTTCTCTGTCTTCTTTCCTCGGCGGCACGCAAGAGTGAACCCGGGCAAGAGTGACCGTTGGCGCGCGGCTTTAGAGGCCAAGCCAAGAAGCGCGGAAGTCGTTGCTGTTGCAGAGCGTCAGCGATGGATTGGACGCGCCTCGAAAGATCCAGACCGCCAGCGGGCACATGCGGGATTCCTTCCATCAGGCGCGGGGCGACGTGGCACGACCCATGGAATCGCGCAGACCACTGCGCTTGCCTCTGCGCCCTGGGAGGGAAGTGCCTCTGCCTCCTCCTCCTCCTCCTCCTCCTCCTGGAACGGCCTGGTCGCATCGCGCTGCTGTCCCACCGGGTGCGGGCTTGGGGCGTCTTCGGGGAACCCTTAGGCGCCCTGGGGGCTGCGGTAAAGAATTCAAAAACCTGAGGCGTGGATGCGACGATCGTCGCGTGTCTTCACCTCGCCATCGCTCGGACGTCCGTTCCCTGTGCATTTTTCGGTGTCGTGCGTGTTTTTTTTTCACAAGGTGAGCAAAAAAGCTCCTCGATGATCCTCGCCGAAAAAAATGCACACGTCCGAGCGATGCAAGGTCACGGCGGTCGAACCCTTGACTGGTCCTGGGGCGTATGGCTACTCGCTCGGCGCGCAGCAAGTTGCGCGCGCGCGGCTCGGGGTCGACCGAACCCTCTCTCGGGAAACCATCGCGCGCTGCCAGACGCGCTACGCATAAGTTGCGGTAAATGGTAACGACCCAGGTGCGTCCATGCGCGCGCAAGTCTACACTGCACGCGCCGACAAGAGGCAGCGGACAATCCGAAAAACAACCTCCTCTGCCCCTGTGGGCCCGCACCGAAGGTCACTCCTGCGCAAGGTCACTCTTACGTGACGGCGGCTTCCCACCTTCTTTTCATCTTCCTCCAATGCCGCCCCTCTCCAATCATCCTTCTCCTCTTTCCTCCCGCCATCCTTTTCCCCGGCCATCTCCTATTAGGTTCCTTCTCCTCCCCCTCCTTCGCCCCCCTCTTGTTCCCATCACCCCTTCCCCTGATGACAGCTATTAAGGTGACGGAATTGTGCAAGAGAACTGCCACTAACATGGTGACCTGCCAACCGCCCAGGTCCTTCTCTTTCTCTCTCTCTCTCTCTCTCTCTCTCTTTCTCTCTCTGCCGCCAGCCGTGCTCGGCTTTGCGCTGTAGGCCATGAGATTCACAAGCACGGAAGGAAGCTGCGCTGCCAGATTCGCCATCGAGACTTCGAGTATAACTTCCCGGATCGTGTGCGGGCACTCGTGCCTTCAGGGATGCGGGGGCCCTTTGGATCACACGTTGCACCAATTTGTAGCAAATTGCCAGGATTCGAATGTATTCGGAGGCGTGCTGTGGCAGCAGCATGTTCAGCAGCAGAGAGAGGTACGAAGAAAGAGAGAGAGAGAGAGAGATGAAGTGGCAGATATGCCCATTCGATGAGACGGCTTTCAGTGACGGGTCCTTGTCGAATTCCTCCAACTCGGAGTTATGTCTGCGCGGTTTGTTTTTTTGTTGTGCCCCTCTCTCTCTGCCTCTCTCTCTCTCTCTGTTCTCCCTCTCTCTCTATTTCCCCCTTTCTCCGTCAACGGCGCCCCCAAGCTGCATCCCACTCTTCCCCAACTGCTCCCCGACAACTTCGCCATCACACCGTGCGACTTCTCACTTCTGCCCCCTCGCCTCTTCGTGTTCACCTTGCCCTGCGCCTGGGAACCGCCTCCGAACGCGCTGCCCCCTCTCCCTGACCCCCCCTGTCAACAAACGGGGTAGACAACTATGAACTCATCATCGCCAACCCGGTCAGTGTGCATCTTTCCACGGGTCTGGTCTAAGGCATGTTGCACTGCGTCTCGCTGCAGGTGCAAGGTGGGTCGGAAGAGGGAAAGCAGTGGGAAGAGGATGCTACGGGGGATAACAGGGGGCGGAAATGGGGGAGGGGGGCGCTGTCGGCGTGGACAACATCGGGCTCCACACCAAGGCACTCTCAAAAAAAACGATTCTTGTCCGCCCGCTGGTGGCAGCAATTCTGGCTGCACAGACTACCATGCTCCAAACCACTGCTGTCACGTTTAGTCGCGGTCGGCGGCGGCTCCTGAGGAGAAGGAGGAAAGAGGAAGAGGAGGAGGACGACATCAGAACACAAGGAGCAACGCTCAGGCCAGCCTGCAATAGGCGAACCGTTGCGCGCCGTCGGGGTTCGAAGAGACTGAAGACAAATCAGATGTCAGAGTCCAAGCTCCGTGCACGAGCACAAAGCGAGAACGCAGAACACATAAATCCACCGCCCGATTGATACGAATTGAAACGCATCTTCCCCTGGCATGCCGAGGCGTTGTGCGGCAGTCCCCTTACTGAATGGCCTAGTCGGCCGAACCAGTGAACCAACACGACAAGAGACAAGAGAGGAGAGAAGGACGAAGGAGAGACGAACGGACGAGCAGGGGGGAAGGGAAGGGAGAAGCAGAGGAGAAGACAATAGCAGTGCTGGCTTGGGTCTACAATGCCGACGTGTTGTCGAATAAAGAGGAGGGGGGAGGGGGTGGAACAGCAAAAAACGCAATGGACTAGGACGGGGGGGAGAAGGATGTGGGGCATGACCTGGAGGCGCAACCACCTCTCCTCCGAGCGCATATGGGGCCCCAGCCCTGGAAAACGAATGGCGACCTTAACGGCCTCAGCGAACTGCGGTACGTTTTGCGCAGCTACCTCGGGTCAGCCACGCGCGGAACAAAAAAACGAAAGGCACACACATACTCCGACGGTAGTACCCCACTCGCTATTTGTTTCAGCTTGACCGCGGAAATGTTCCTGATCCTTCCCATTACCCCCTATTGCCTTCTTTTTACCCTCCTGCCTCCTCGTCTTCCTCGTCCTTCTCCTCCCCCTCGTCCTTTCCTTCTCCTCCTCCTCCTCCTCCTCCTCCTTCGCCTCCTACTTCGTCGAACTCTCCATCCCTCCTGTTCTTCTTATGAACTTCTCTGGCCAGGGCACGCATGTCGATTTTCTTCGGTGCCCTCGCCGCCTCGGCTGGCACGCAGGCGTTTTCCGATGGCCGGGTCGCGAAGCTGTTGGGGCAATCCAGCGGGCCAGGCTGTCGGGACAACTCCGCGGGCCGCTGGGGCGCGGGAGCAAGCCGTCGGGACAAGCCCGCGGGCCTCGAGCTGGGCGCCGCCGCGCTCAGGCGGGAGGCAGCGCGAAGCCTAGCTCTGCCGCGAGCTGCTCCACCTCAGCCCTGGAGCTCGCAGCCCTCTTCTCGAACTTCCGTAGCGCCTTCCACAGGGACGCCGGCGGCCCGCGCTCCAGAAACTCTCGCGAAGGCGGCCGCAGGACCAGCTTTTTCTGCATGCGCGCGGCGCGGGTGAACATGACGTAGAGGTGCAGCCACCACTACCCGTCCAACATGCCCGTGCGGCCAATTTCCTCATCCTCGGCGCAGTCGACGGTCACGTCCTTGCGCGGCGTCTGGCCCCGCGACAGCGTGGACGGGGCTCCCGCTCGACATTTCCTTGCACTTCATTCACAGACGCCACCACTCGAAACTTTTTTCCGATTCAAGCCTGAGAAACCCAAAAGAACTGACATTTACAACTTACGGCTGACCCACTCGGATTCAAACATGGAAATGGAGACCCCACTGGGAGAGGCTCCTGCTCGAAAACTTCCTCGCGAATCCCTCGCAGACGACGCCCTTGTCGAGACCTCCTTCAAATTCAGGCCTGAGGAGCTCAAAAGTGAGGACAACTACAGGTTTCAGATGACCCGCTCGGAATCAAACATGGAGGTAGGGACCCCCTGAGGAAGGGCTCCCGCTCGAGACATCCTCGCGATTCACTCACAGACGACGCCCCGATCTGGACTTCCTCCCGATTCAGACCCGACGAACCCAAAAGTGAGGACAATTACAGGTTTCAGATGACCCGCTCGGAATCGAACATGGAGGTAGGGACCCCGTACGGAGGGGCTCCCGCTCAAGACTGCCTCGCGATTCACTCACAGACGACGCCACGCTCAAGACATTATCCAAATTCAAGCTTGCGGAACTCACACATGGCGACCGTTACAGGTTTCAGATGGCCCGCTCGGATTCGAACGTGGAGGTGGAGCGCCCATAAGGAGGGGCTCCCGCTCGAGACTGCCTCGCGATTCACTCACAGACGAGGCTCCCGATCGCGAGATCTTCAAGATAAGCGCGAGTGTGCTGATGATGACCGATGACCATGATGGGATGATGCCGATGATGATGAAGATGGTGAGGTGGCGATGATGAACGGTGATAGTGATCTTGAGTGACGCTAACGGGTGAGTGTGCGAGGTGCGTGTGTGTCTGAGAATGTTGGTGAGTGCGTGAATGCTTCTAAGATGATGATGGTGCTGATGCTGATGATGATGACGATGATGAGGTTGATGACCACGGTGTGGTGGCGGGTGAGTGTTAATTGTGCTCGTGATGGTGATGGTGATGATGGTGATGATGATGCTGATGATGATGCTGCTGATGAGTGTGTGAGTGCATGACTGTGAGTGAAGACGAGAAGGGGCAGAAGAAGAGAGAATGGTTGCGCAGAGAAATTCGAGAACCCCGTTCTGGATGTGGGGAACAAGAGCTTGTGGTGGTGATGGAGGTGTGTTTCTGCGTGGGGTGTCCAGAAAAAAAACAACAGCCCCATTTAGGCTGTGAGATAATACATGCAATTAACGCAACATTGAAATCATCCCGGCCAATATCACGAAGCAGGCCAAGTTTGACCCTGGGATCACGGGGGACCGATACAAAGGTCGAGAACCCGCGGACACTCTAGGACGTAATGCGAAACGGAATCACACATCGAAGATGCAGCCTGAGTGGACCCGCCTCGTTCGATGGGGAGTGGCGCTCCAGGAGGTTCATGCCGACGGGGAGGCTCGTGATCCGCTTCTCCGTCGATTCTGACATTCGCATCGTATATGTTCGGCCCCCCAGAGCGCGATACGCTGGGCGGCGTCGCCACTATCGTGCCGACAAGTCCTGACATTACCGTGTCCTCCGAGATCTTGGTGTCTGGAGGCATCCTGCTCACGGAGATTGTCAGCATTCCCTCAAAGATCGTTTTTACCACTGGAACGTCCACAACCACGACATCTCCTATGACGAGTTCTGGCCGTTCGCCCAGAGATTCCGGGCCCAGGCGGGAGCTTCGCAAGCCAACGCAACATAACCAGTGGTTCTCATAGTCGGGGTCTTCACCATTACCGACTCCAATTGCGAGCTGGCTCCACATGTGACACTCCCGACGGCTCTGGGGCTGATGCGGCTCATCAGCAGGATCGTGCGGGAGACCACCGATGAAGGCAGCTTTGGAAGATGTTGGTCGAGTTCGACGCCGAACGTCCGACGCATTGGCACCAACCTATGCGCAGCACGCCACGCAGATCGGTAAGGAATGTGCTTCGGCGCCGGACGAGGCACAGGAGTTGCATCGAGACTCGGTCAGCGACCACGCGCCGCTCATCTTCCAGTGGGCTCCGAGGCCGCCTGGCGACCAAAATCGTGTCACGCCGCTTCCCAGGCACATTGTGCAGGACCCGATGTTCTTGCAGATGGTTGTGGAGCACGAGCGCCTCGCTGGCATCGACCGCCCTTGGTTACCCACTCCGTCCTGGCTGTGGTTAGCAGAGTCAAGTGTCGCCGAGGCGCTGCACCTGCCACTCGCGACTTGCAGCTGCGAGCGCGATGGCTGGGAGCTGCACAGTTCGCCATGGTCTTCCGTACCATCGCACGGGCCCTTATAGGGCAAGATGGTGCTGTGGCTTGCGCCGTGCGGGCCTAGCACGAATGAGCCGAGGAAAACGTCGCCGTGGACGCCGGCGACCTCGGCGGTGCATTCGCGGTTCGGATCGTGGACCTCGTCCGCTTCCAAGCTGCCTTCCGTGACGCCCAAGCCGCGGCGCTCTTTACGAAGGAGACTCGGCGCGTAAGCTGCAAGATTCCCAGCTTTCTGGAAGGCCCCAGGCAGAGTTTCACTGGAGGCATCTATTCAGCGTCGCGCCCGCCTGTGGGACCCCAGCGGCCCCCGTCGGTTTCTCCGTGGGCTGCAGTGCGGGGACGCGGCTCTATCGGATCCAATTTCAAAGGCTCGCGGTTTATCGAGCTGTCGGGCTCCGATCTTCCAGGACACCTCATCCACCCCCGCTGGCGGTAACCATTACTGAAAGCGTTTCGCCCGCTCTGATGACTTCTCTGACCTCCCCCCCTCCCGGTCCACAAATCACCAGATTTTCAGGCGCGCCTTGGCCTCGCACCTGGCACTCACGGCCATCGGTGCTGGCTCCTCTATAGTTCGCATATGCTGGCGGATATCTCGCGGAGACCCCATGGGTCTAAGTTGTTAATTATTTGTCCGGCGTTCCTTCTGGAAGGTAGGTTGCACGCCGGACGATCTGGGGCCTCGGCGCGCGTTCGAGCTGCGCAGGTGGTTGTCCACGTCCTCGCTCTTCCTTTCTGAACCTCGACTTCTGTCGCCCCCCTCCTTGAATCTGCCGCCAGTGGCTTTTTCCGTCTTCGGCCAGCCTGTCAGAACCAGCTCGTCGGTGCCATTCTCTCTTCCAGGCGGGCCCGCCCCACAGAGATACAGTCGGGGCGTTGACCTAAGGAGCCCTAAATAAGGAACGAGGCCCCTTTCTCCATGAGTTAAACTTCGACTTCCTATCGAAGACATAGGGGAAACTTGAGGCAAGCTGCGAAACGCTTCAGGAACGCGGAGCCCCTCCCCAACCAAAAGGGTTCCTTCTTCAGGGCCCAACCGAGGCAGATCTCGATGCCGTTCACCGCTTCAGACGCTGTTCGAGCAAGCTCTCTGTCTCGCCGGGTGATCGGGGCCACACTGCATCGCCGGACCACCAAATGGTATCTATCCCCCGAGGGGCGGAGTGGGGCTCATGGATTGGGTTCAGGTCGGGCAAGGCAAAAAAAAAGATCATGGGAAAATGGGCGAAAAAGTCTACAGGTCGGGGGCGAAAATGGATCCAAGAAAGATTGATAGTCAGGCGGATTATGGGCGAAAAATTCAGAATATCCAAAAATAAGCAGAAAGTAAACAAAACATACTCAAAACATCGTCCCCCGACTATTTTTGGACTATTTGGAACTGTTCCTCCTGTGAAGGGACGTGCCCGATTTAAGATCGGGTAGGAGATAGGAACGGCCGTGCTGTAGCTTCCGTTCGCGTGGTGCTCCACCACCCTGAAATCTCGGCGCGGCGCTTGGATCTCTTCGCATCGAGGAGGCGGATGAGGAGGACGAGGAAGAGCGCGGGCCGCGGGGAACGGTCTGATCCTGACTCTGATGCAGAGCGCGGGAGCTCGAGGCCAGAGGCTCCTGGCCCGAAGGTCGAGGCGCAGCAAAGACGCACCCTCCTCCCTGCCATCCCAACCGGTGGCCGCCCACGGGAGGCCGCCTGGACGGAGGATCATGCATCGTCGCCGATGCATCGGCGATGGTTAGGAGGAGGAGGAGGAGGAGGAGGAGGAGGAGGAGGAGGAAGAGGAGGAGGAGGAGGTGGAGGAGGCGGAGGAGGGGTGCTGGGCGACGCTGGGATGTAGGGAATCGAGCTCAGCATCGCAGCCGCAGCTTCGATGCATCGGCGACGCGCTGCGCTCATCCGACCCCGTCTAATTACTCCAGCGGGGCCCCAGGAAGGGGGAGGGCGCATCGTGGCCCCACGCATGTGCGCGGACGAGGGGTACCATGGGACCGTTCAAAGAGGAGGGGCCACGACATCGGGGAGGCTTCGTGGCCCTGGCCACGAGATCCCTGCGCCAGGCGGCGCAGGGCCCCCGGCCGTGCGCCCGTCGCCCCTGCCTCCGGGTTCCCTCAGGGCCCTCCCGCCTCCCCTCCCTCTGTGGAGTAGCACTGCAATCCTCTTGTCTTTTTTCCTCTTGGTCTTGTGCTCCTCTCCTCCCCTGCTGTTGCCTCCATGCTGGCATGCCCGAAGTTTCCATCGCTGTTTAGGGCCCTTGAGTCTGTGGCACGCCGCGTGCGGAAAACATGGCATCGTGACACATTTTGGTGTGTAGCATTGTTTCCACACCCTCCCCCCCCCGTCTCCAGAGGAACACCCAGAAGCAGGTGCCGCTGTCTCGGCTGGAGCGCCTTGGGAGCCGTTGTCTTCCTCCTCCTCCGCCTCCTCCTCCTCCTCCTCCTCCTTCCCTCGCCCCCACGCGGGCCATGACGACGCGGCCCAGGCCCTGAGAGCAACACATGCCCTGGGAGCCGGCCCCAGCAGGGGATCGGCCCAGGCCGCGGTGGCCTGAGACGCCGGACGGGAGCACCGGAGCCCCGGGGGCTCCCCTGCGCGTATCGGGGTGGGGACCCGCTCGGGTGGCCCCAGGCCGGAGAGAGGGAGAGAGGGAGGAGGAGGAGGAAAGGGAGGAGATAGGAGGAGGAGATAGGAGGAGGAAGGAGAAGGAGGAGGAGGAGGAGGAGGAGGAGGAGGATCTCGACTAGCATGGTGAAGAAAAGAGGACAGGCTGGAAGCCTGGCGTGGGCCTCGTCGCCCCGCTCGTAGTCCTCCTCGTCCTCATCCGACTCCGACTCGCCTCCGCCCGCGGCCCCCTCTGGCGAGCAGGCCGCCCGCCTTCTCCCCCTGCACTCCCTGCAGCGTCTTCCCTCCCCTGGACACATCCCGCACCCATTCCCCTGCAAGTGAGACGAAGCCAGGACGAGGACAACATCGGGTGAGAACAGATCGAGAACGTCTGAGATCTGGCGGCTCTGGAGGATGTATCGGGCGCCGCGGCCTTCTCAGAGCGTTCTAGAACGCTCTGAGAGCGTTCCAGAACGCTCTGGAACGGATTTATCCTCGTCGTCCTAGCTAGACGCCTCCTAGATGGGGTCGGAGTAGATGGTGTCGGAGGATCGCGCTGCATCGGCGATACATCGGCGATGCATCGTCGATGCATCGGCGATGCACCGGCGATGCATCCGCGACGTCGGCGATGCATCGGCGACGTCCGCGTGAAAAAAATCGGGCTCCGAATCGAGCCGCATCGGCGATGCATCGGCGATGCGGCGCGACCCTCCGACCCCATCTACTCCGACCCCATCTAGGAGGCCTAGACTAGCCCGGCCCGACCCTGCCCCCCCCCATTCTCCTCCCATCCTACCGCCCCCCACCGAGCCATCCTCTGAGTACGTGGTCGCCTTCGTCGTCGGCGCTGGCGGCGGCCTGCTTTCGCCCTGTCTGCCTGGACATCGTGCCCCGTCGCGGGTGCAAATGTTATAAGAACAAGGTTCTTGGAACATAAACCCGATGTTTTAAAACAAGACAGTCCCAGCCAGAAATGTTCTAAGTACATCTCGTGCAGACCACGAGAGGTTCTTAGAACAGTCTCTGGTGGGCCAAAGGCGAGCCAGGACGCTTCGACACTGCTTGAGAGATGTGGGCAGCTGGCGGCGGCGGCCAGGCTGGACATGGGCGGGGAGACGGCCCGAGGCAGGAGGAAGAAGAGTAGAAGCGCAGGAGGCACAAGGGAAGAAACGGCAGGAACGACCGCGCACCCAATTCGTGGCTTCCTTCTCCTCCGACGCAGCGCAGCGACCCTCGTCTCCGACGCACCCCAGTGACCCTCTAATCGAACTCATCGTTCGCCCGTGCTCGAACGCCGCATGGCCGGGAGCGAACATCGGGGCAGACGAAAAGGGAGTTCCAGACATGCAACGTCCCGATCATTACAACACGGGGCCCCTGAAGTCCGGACCCTTTCCCCGGGACCGGCTTTTCCTCCCGAGTCGTTTTTTTTGACCGTCCCGAGGCCCGGCGAGGGCGCTCCCGAGGCCGAAATTGGCCAAAAACCTCCCGTCCTGATTTTTCCCTAAGGGCTTGTCGACTTTTCGCCGATCGACTTGTGGGGAGCGAGCCAGAAAAATCCAGGTAAATGCAGATAAATCTAGGTAAATCCAGATATAAATCCAGGCAAATCGAAACAAATCCGGGTAAATCCAAAGATCTCCGAGGAAAGGTGAAGCAACTCGCGGCCGCTCCAGCGCGAGTCGAAGGACGGCAGAAGTCGTTAAGCCTTTAACGAATTTTTTCAAGGCGCGATCATGCCTGGGGATAGCAACGGGAGCTCAGCGAGCCAGCTGCCCGCGGCCAGGTCTCCACGGCGCCGCAGGCGACGGGGCGTATATATCGAGGAGGAGCTCCCGCGCGGCGGTGCCGCAGTCAGCTGCGTACGGCACTCTTCGACCTCCCCCCCGCGCCCCTTTCTTTACTGAAGGGGCCCCAGGACACACAAATAAATACACACAAATAAACATATTCCACATATTTTCCCATATTTTCTTGATTTTTGTCTTCCCCCCCATTTCCCATATTTTCCTATATTTTCTGGGAATCGCCGATTAATTGTGTCTGTGTGTTTTTTTCCCTCCTGATTTACGGCAGGTTCGTGTCGTGCCGACTTGGGCGTGGGTTCCTGACACCGCGGAGGTCCTTCGACCTTGAACGTTCGGCCGTTTCCGAAGCATCAGTTCGTTCGAAACAAACCGATTCTGGGTCTCCGGCGTTCCATGTTGAACGCCAGCGGCGGGGTCGCCGCTGGTCGACACGACGCGAACCTGGCGTACCCTCCCCGTTCCACCCTATTTCCCACCTTTCTCGCCCCGTTTCCCCCTCTCATTTGCCTTCTGGTCATGGGGGGTCAGACTTCTGGGGGTCAGAGCCAACGAGGGGCAGACCTAAGGGAAAACAACATGTTCAGAGATACAAGACTTGCCCCGGCGAACACAAAAAGCAGAGGAGCTGCTCGGGAGAAACAAAATAGTACATAGTGCTTGAAACAAATAATTACGACCCCGGGCAAGGATATCCCATGACTGAGCTTACCCTTTCGTGAGCTCCATCCATAAGGCAGATCTGCATTAGCAAGCAAAATGCCCTCGGCTACACGCCAGAGTGACCCCAGGGAAGATAGACCTCTGGCGCGCGACTCATGGGGGTCGCCAGGAGGCAGAATCCGGGCGCGCGAGCCGCCGCTATCGCACCGCGCTCGGCGAACTTGAGCGAGCGGGGGACCCCAGAGGGCCAGCACCAAAGGTCACTCCGACACTCTCACGCGTAGCCGAGACCTCCCTTCCCACACATGCGATGCTGATTTGTTCAATGCGCGGCTCCCGGAAGTCCCGACCCTTCCCCCTGGGCCCGCTTTACACCCTGACTCGTTGACTGCCCCGGGGCTTGGCGAGGGCTCCCAGAGGCCCAAAGCGCGAACAAAAACACCGCCCTGAATTTCACGACGCGAGCAGTTACCGCGTGCCGGGGGGGCGTGCTACGTTTAGGTCGGGCCTGTTCCCCTACAGGCCGATGTTCGAGGAATATTCAAAAGTAGTCAAAAAACCTTACACATTGTCAAAACAAATATTCAAAAAATCGTCACCAGACTATGTTTAACTATTTTTGACTATTCCTCCTGTAGAGAGACAGGCCCGACTTAATGGTACGTCTAAGACGCGGGCGCAGCGGAGAGCGGCGCGCAAGGGCGCTCGCGGGGGCGTCTGGCCCAAGGGCAACGGGGGGCGAACCCAGGGAGGGAGAGATGAGTATCGCTTAACCGATCCCCATCGCCAGCTGCGTGGCCTGGGCTCCGCTGGCCGATTCACCCCCCTAGATGGGGATATAGGCCGCTCTCTTCGGGGTTCGAGGGGTGTATCCCCAACTGGGGTGGTAATTTGGTGGGGGTCTCGAGGGGGATGGGGATGGGGATGGGGATCGAATAAATGATACCGACCAAGGGCAACTGGGGGCGAACCCAGGGAGGGAGAGAACGGGCGAAACCAGCTAGCGGGACAAAGCCGAAGCGGAGCAGGGACTGAGGTAGGAGCCCGCTGGCGGGGAAGGAGGAGGAGAACGGAAGCAAGAGGGAGGGCAAACAAGAGGTAATATATATATATATATATATATATATATATATATATATATATATATATATAGATATAGGTATGTATATACGTATATCTATATATATACACAAGACTGCATTGGCGCTGCGCGCCATGCACCTTGGTCCTTTGAGTTCTGCACGCAAGCGGAATGCGTGCGTGCGTACATGCGCGCATGCATGTATACACGCGCACGTGCATGCACGTTCCGTATAAATGTCTAGGTGTATACAATAGACTTACATTGTTGTATGTGTGTACAGCGTACATCTGTACATTTTTTTTGTGCGTAAGGGTATGAACATGCATATGCAACTTGTACGGGGCATCTTCGGGCATCTTCGCTGCATGCCACGAGACCCTCAACGACTGGGTCACAATGTGAATGTCATGGGGGCAAAATCAATGAATGTTGGCATTCGGAAACATCGTGGGGGTGTTTTCGGGGCCCTCGTGGGTCGTTTTGGTGCCTTCATGGGCCGTCCTGGGGCCTTCTTGGGCTGTCTTGGGGAGCTTGGGCCCGCTGGAGCCCCCTTTGGACCCATCTTGGGCACTTCCGGGGACCTCCCATGGCCCCTTTGGGTCTGTGCTGGGAGCCCTTGGGGGGCCTCTTGGTTCCATTATGGGTTGTCTTGGGGCTCTTGTGGGCGATCGTGGGGCCCGGCTCGGCCGTCTTGAAGCTTTCTAGGGAGCCGTTTGGAGCGTCTTGAGGCGATCTCGGGGGCTTTGAAACCGTTTGGAAAGCTGATGAAATCCGAAAGGCGACTCTGCTAAAATTGCAGGTTTTACGAAGGGAAGGGGGGCGATTTTTGTGGTTTGAAGGCCCCTTGGAAAGCTTTTTGGGGTGCCTTGGGGGTCTTTGTGTTGGCATTCGGAAACATCGTGGGGGTGTTTTCGGGGCCCTCGTGGGCCGTTTTGGCGCCTTCATGGGCAGTCCTGGGGCCTTCTTGGGCCGTCTTGGGGAGCTTGAGCCCACTGGAGCCCCCTTTGGACCCGTCTTCGGCACTTCCGGGGACCTCCCATGGCCCTTTTGGGTCTGTGCTGGGAGCCCTTGGGGGGCCTCTTGGTTCCATTATGGGCTGTCTTGGGGCTCTCGTGGGCGATTGTGAGGCCCGGCTCGGCCGTCTTGAAGCTTTCTTGGGGGCCTTTTGGGGCGTCTGGAGGCGATCTCGGGGGCTTTGACACCGTCTTGAAAGCTGATGAAATCCGAAAGGCGAATATGCTAAAATTGCAGGTTTTACGAAGGGAAGGGGGACGATTTTTGTGGTTTGAAGGCCCCTTGGAAAGCTTTTTGGGGTGCCTTGGGGGTCTTTGTGTTGGCATTCGGAAACATCGTGGGGGTGTTTTCGGGGCCCTCGTGGGCCGTTTTGGCGCCTTCATGGGCAGTCCTGGGGCCTTCTTGGGCCGTCTTGGGGAGCTTGGGCCCGCTGGAGCCCCCTTTGGACCCATCTTGGGCACTTCCGGGGACCTCCCATGGCCCTTTTGGGTCTGTGCTGGGAGCCCTTGGGGGGCCTCTTGATTCCATTATGGGCTGTCTTGGGGCTCTCGTGGGGCCCGGCTCGGCCGTCTTGAAGCTTTCTTGGGGGCCTTTTGGGGCGTCTTGAGGCGATCTCGGGGGCTTTGAAACCGTCTTGAAAGCTGATGAAATCCGAATGGCGAATATGCTAAAACTGTAAGTTTTACGCAGGGAATGGGACGATTTTCGTGCTTTGAAGACCCCTTGGAAAGCTTTTTGGGGTGCCTTGGGGGTCTTTTGGGCCGTCCTGACGCACTTGGAGTCCCTCTTGGAGCGCTCTTGTGCTGTCTGGGGCCTCCCTTGAGCCTTTCTGATGACCCCTCGGATCGCTCTGGGTCTGCTGGCAAGGCGTTTGTGGAGACCCGGAAAGCCGTGTGACCTTTTCCAAGGACGTCCAAGGGAGCCCGAGAACCCCAGATCCCGGGGGTCCAGTTTTGGGGGGGGGGAGGTTCCCCCCCCCCCAGGCTTGCAAAAATATAGGAAGAGGAATATATAAAGAGAGAGAGAGAGAGAGAGCTTGGACGCCTGAAATGGGTACGGAAAAAACTGGCACAATGCCCAACAACAAATGTTGTCCCAAACCAACGGCACGGCGGAACTACGAATATTGGCAACAAACGGGTAGAGTATCTTTGCGGGCGCGTGCGTGCGTTTGTGTGTTGCGCGCGTCTTGCGTGGCGTGGCACGCGTGCTAGGTTGGTGCATGCAGAATTTCGGGTCTGCGGAGAGA